CTGTCCACGGGCGCTCTGGTGCACCTGTCCACAGGGCACTCTGGTGCATCTGTCCACGGGCACTCTGGCGCATCTGTCCACAGGCGCTCTGGTGCATCTGTCCACGGGCGCTCTGGTGCACCTGTCCACAGGGCACACTGGGGCATCTGTCCACGGGGCACTCTGGGGCATCTGTCTACAGGGTGCTCTGGCACACCTGTCCACAGGATGCTCTGGTGCATCTGCCCATGGGTGCTCTGGGGCATCTGTCCACGGGTGCTCTGGGGCACCTGTCGACAGGTTTTCTGGTCCAGTCCTCATGATCAAACTGCTCCAGATGACACAGGTTTGAAGGGTTCTTCTCCAGATGCTCCTTCCACAGATGTCCAACAGGAATAAGATCAGGGCTCAGAAGGACACTTCAGGACAGTCCATTGTTTGGTTCTGATCCATTCTTGGTTATTTTAGCTGTGTTTTGGGTCATTATCTTGTTGGGAGGACCAGTGGCTGAGACCAAGCTTTTTGACACTGAGCAGCTCATTTAACCCCAGAATTCCTTGATCGTCTTTAGATTTCATTGTACCCTACATAGAACAGAACAGAACCGAGCCTGCTCCATGTTTCACTGTATGTAGTTTTATTTTTGGGTGTGTGAACACAGAGCTGATGGGACTTGTTGCCAAAAAGCTCCAGTTTTGTCTCATTTGTCCATTGGACATTCTCCCAGAACATTTCTGTCTTCACAGTACAACATTGGGTAAATTCCAGTTTGGCCTATACAATTTTTTTAATGATTTTCAGTCGTCTTCTGTTCTGAGCTTGTTGGTTAGCATTTATATTATCTGTCTCTTCAACTTGTCCTTTTGTGGACATGTCCAGGGAGGTTGTCTTCAGTCAAACTTCTGATAAATCTGTGCAGCTGAAGTCAGAGGAACATCAATCTGCTTGGAAATAATCTTATAGTCTTTACTTTTAACACGGTGTCAGTCATTGTCTTGCTACTCTCCTGAGACACTCTGTCCTCAGCTTCCTGGTCCATGTTCAGTGTGTTACACACCATGATACCAAACAGCCCTGTGACTACCGGTCACCCTTTAAACAGGCAGACTGACTGATTACAGACTGAAGACACAAGATGTTAATTACAGGATGCACCTGAGGTTAACATGTCCATGTGGTCAAATTATTTGTCATCTTTTCTGAGTTCCATCCTTTTTTTTTTTTTTTTAAGTCAGACCGTTGTATGGGTTTGTTTTTTAAAAATGATTCTCTTGAACCAAAACTCAGAAGCAAATAATGATTTTTATTTATTTATGAAGTCTCTCCATTTTAAGTTATTTCATAGATCTGTGTTGGGTTTTTCTTCTTTAAGAAAAGTGTAAATCGTGTCAGTATTTGATGCATTTCTCAGTTTACTAAAATATTATTTTTTTTTAATTTTCCAGGACCTCCTACAACAAACAACAAGCTTAAAGAATATTTGGAAAGACATCTTTCTAGTGTTTCAATGTAAGTCAGAGAGCATCAGACATGTTGGATCTCTGTATGTACTGTTCTACAGGAATTCAGTGTTTGTTTTTGCATCCAACAGCAACCCAACCCCCCCTCCGTCTCCGCCCCGCGAGGTGGAGCCCATGAATGTGGACGGTGTGGACCTTGTGAGTTTAAAGCATTATTGCTTTTCTTCTGCGTCCTAAAAGCAAGATAAGATGCAAAAACGCTCGTCTGTCCTCGTTTACTGCGGCTGATTTTGACACAGCATGTTTCTCTGCAGGAAGACATCAACCCATCTATAGACGAGTCATTCTGCGATTTACTCGATTTCTTACACGACTACTCATTTCAGTCCAATCAGCTCCTTCTGCTGTCGCCTCGGGACACTTTTAACAATCCCTGCTTCTCATCCCAAACCTGATGGATCACAGAAAGAACCGACCCATCAAGAACAAGCTCAAAGGATCTTTGTTCTAAAGCCCCCCGAAGTTCCTTCGTCTTCATCATTTACTGTAAATCTTAGAAACATTACGTTAATCTGCAGATTGTAAATAACTGGTACTGACTAAAAGATGTGACATTTTTGTGTTTTTAATAAAAATGTACACTTGTTTTATTTCCTGCTGCTTTTTAAAGCCTACTTTTAGAGGGGAATAAAAGATGCAAATGCTTCAGCAGTTAAATTTATTTACGAGAGGAGTTTAATGGAACAACTTGTTTTTAATAAAAATAAGACTACTGAGGCCCTTCGGACCTCTCCTTCCTCCTGACTCTGGGGCTTTGATTTCCAAATGACATGAACATTTACTTTCATGTGAAAGAGGACAATCACTGAGCAACAGTCCAGTTCTTTTTTCCCTCAGCAGGTAAGATGCTTATATCTCTGGTTCAGTAGTGTCTCAACTTGAGGAGTGAGACATTTTGTAGCTCAAGTCAAGGAGTTAATCAGCTGATCAGCATGTGACACCAGTTTACAATATTCTCATTTTCTGACACTGAATTTAGTTTTTCTCATTATTTATCAATCAACCTTTATTTATACAGGTAAATCCCATTGAGCCTCGAGGACTCATTTACAAGAGAGACCTGAAGCCATTTATAAGCCATAATTATCAAAATTAGAAGAAATAAAGGCTTGAAATATTTCATTTGTATATTAATTTATTATATCTCTTAAATACTGAACTTTCTCACAATATTCTACTGTTTTGAGATGCACCTGTAGTTGACTTTAGGTTTAGTTTTTGTCGATATGGGGTCGTTTTTACAAACGTTCAGGACCAGATACTTTTAAATCATGTCCTGAAAAATAAAAGTTCTTTTAATCACTGTAGAGTTTGTAATTTCATCACAAATTTAAAGAATATTGGAAAATATATCCTAGATTATAAAGCTAAAAAAAGGCTGAATCAAAGTTTAAAGAGTGTTGCTTTATGATGTAGAAAACAGCCCAACGTAAAAGGAAAAACCTTTTTACTCTGCTTAAACACATTATTAGACGTAAAGCTCATGAATCTGTAGGCTAATTAAAACCCATGGATGGCATTTTAAAAACTAAGACACAATTTGACTCATACATTTTAAAAAACAAACTTAGCCAAAACCTGAAAGAATCTGAATCAGAACTTTTTTTTTAAACTAAATCCTCTTTCTGAACATTACAGGTTAAAAAATAAAAACTCTCAAAGAGCTCCAACAGAAACTTTTATCTCAAAAACAATAAATTACACAACCTGCTGTGAAGTGTCTGAAATACATCGTGTTTCTCCTGGAACGCTGCCACGGAAAAATACATTCAGAAAACAATCGTGGCCGACCCGAGGGCAGCAGCAGGAAACCTGCAACAATCGATCAGTGATCGGTAAAACGTGGGCTGGCGGTTGCAGAGACAGGAAACGGGTCACAGCGGAATTATTAAAACACTGTTACAGACCCAATACTTAGGGATTATAATCCAAACAACATGAGCTAATCTGGAACTAAACTAAATATTCAAACTGAGGACACACTAAAAACTGCTGGGTTGTTTAGACAACTCATTACAGGTCGTTGGGTTGGTTTGAACAAATATTGGGTCAGAAAGTTTGACCCGTTGGTCCAGTCGGAGAAGAGTGGCATCGTTCTTCAGTCCACCATGTTTTAACCAGAAGTCGACCCGATTGGACCCGACAGCAGGTAATAAGTAAATTTAGGACCAAAAACTCAACTTGGCTTTGTTAATGGGAGTTGACCCGTCCAGTCTACGTTCATTTTGTGGACTCGGAGAAGGCCGTGCTCCCCGGAGTACACTGTGGGGGTGCTCCGTGAGTTTGGGATTATGGACCCGTTGCCATTCAGTCCCAGTACAACTGGCAGGAAAGTGGTTGCCGGCAGTAAGTCGGACCAACTCAGGGTGGGAGTTGGACTCTACAAGGGCTGCCTGTTGTCACCGATTCTGTTCCGGAGTCCGGTTCGGTGGCCTCAGGATCGTTTGCAGACGACGTGGTCGTTAGCACCACTCTCACTGGAGCGGTTCACAGCTGGGCTGAGGATCAGAAGCTCCAAATCCGAGGCCCTGGTCCTCAATCAGAGGGTGGACTGTCCTCTCCGGGTTGGAGGTTCTGCCTCAAGTGTGGGAGGTCAAGCATCTCTGGGTTTTGTTCACAGTGAAGGAAGAATGGAGCTCAACACAGATCGTACTGTGGACTGCCGGTCCAGAGCTAAGCTGTAAGGAGAAGCCCTCTATGTTCCTACCCTCACAGAACCAGATCCTGGATCCAGGCGGTCTAAATAAGTTCTCTCCACAGGATAGCTGGACTCTCTCTCAGAGATCGGGTGAGAATTCAGTTCTCCAGGAGAGACTCTGAGTAGAACCGCTGCTCCTCCACATCCAGAGGCGGCGAGTGAGGTGCTTCAGACATCTGGTAAGGATGGACCCTATAACGCCTCCCTAGGGAGGTGTTCTGGACAGGTCCAACGGTGAGGAGAGCCCGGGGAGGACCCAGGACACCATGGAGACTCATTTGACCGAGTGCTGGTGTCGAACAGATAAAACTAATCGGCGTGGTCCAAATGTGACTCAATGCTGGTTTGTTGTTAACCCAGCAGTTTTTAGTGTGTACTTACAGTAAACAGCAGTTACACACGTTCAGCTGTTGTATTGTAATGTTAAGCAGCTCACACACACACAACACACACACATCATGAAGCCGTACACAAAGCAAAGCACACGAGGCCGAGTTAAGCCACCGCACGTTTCAGAAGCCTGAGTATTGATAAATATGATCAGTTCTTCTGCTGATGTTTCAGCAGGTCTACAGGAGGCCGTCCAAGTTCTCGCCGCTCGCCCGGTCCTCAGGAGCAGCAGGCGGGCTGTACTTCTCCAGGTACTGCTGCAGGAGGGTGACCACGTCGTGGTGGCCAAAGTTCACCGCCTCGTCCATCGGCGTGTTTCCCCACCTGAGTAAAAATTTGAAAATGAATCGTTTCTTTCCACTGATCCAAAGTTCTTCTCTTCTCTCAGTCAGATCCAGACACCTCTGGTCTGACAGATCACCTGGACTCACCTGTCTTTGGGTTCAGGGTTCACGTTGCAGGCCTCCAGCAGGAAGCGCACCACCTCTACGTGTCCTGAAAACAGAGCGGCAGCTGTGACTAACAGAACCAGACCGTTCTGCAGACGGGTCGGGTACAGACCCACAGAGTTTTACCTTCAGCCGCTGCCACGTGGAGGGCCGTCCTGGAGTCGTAGTCCCTCTGCTCCATGTCCACGGAGGACAGAGCAAACCTGAAGACACACATGAAACCTGTCAAACAGCCCTGCTGTGGTCTGACTGGTGTCCTCTACAGACCAGAACTGAACCACCACAGCCAGGAGGGCTGGATCCATCCTGGACTGAGGTGGGGAGAGGAGGACACTGACCAGTAGACAACCTCCCTTACTCTTGAATGGCTTTAAGCAGCTCCTTCTGTGATACCTGCATGAATAAATTCTGAAATATAATGTGGAGGCTTTAAGCAGCTCCTAGAAAGATAGGCTGCATAAGCAGCTACTTTTGTGGTGACAAGCTGCTGAAAGCTCTTGAATAATGCTGGGGGCTTTAAGCA